CAAACAAGCTTAGATGTCTGAACTAGAGATGTCCCGATCCAGGTTTTTGCACTTCCGATCCGATACCGATATTGTTTTTGGACTTCCGATCCGATACCGATACTGGCCGATACCAGCCTATCCGAGCATGTATTTAAGTTTAAGTTAAAGTATTTCGCCTTAGTTGTAAGACTCATGTTGAAAAGGGTTTTAGTACTCTTGATAACATCTAGCCAGCTAAATAAGGTGAGATTGAATAAAATACAATGATTGGTAACAACAAACTTACCTGTTTATTAAGAGATAAACAAAAACTGGACAAAATTATGAATAGCAATCTAATATTGCACAGTGAACAGTAAAACCGTAAACAGTTAAAGGTGCTATATTACTGTAAGTTTTAATAAAAATGCAAAACAGACAAGAGTGGAAAATAGTCTATTAACTTAGAATCAGGACTCTACTCTTGAAAAAAGACACTGCTTAAAAAAAAATCTGTGCAAATAATAGTTACACAAAAATGCCTTATACTCCGCAATGTCCTCCACACCTAGTCTCCATCTACACATCATGCAGGATAAAATAATCCCACACGGCTGACATTTTCCCCGCTATCTTCCAATTCACCTGTTTTAATGGTTAGGCCGGGAGACAGACCCAAAAAGACCTGTGGGTGTGTTGAAGGTGTTCTGGAAAATGCGGACCGGATTCGGGGAACACTGGCGCAAAATAGTGGAATGGATTGTTGCAATCGGCGAAACTGGAAAATACGGACCGGATTTTTTTAAAAAACTGGATCGGCAGTCTGGATCGGCATTTTTACATGCTGTGCCGATACGCATTTTTTTGCCAATATCGGCGTCCAATCCGATACGTGGATCGGATCGGGACAAGCCTAGTCTGAACGTAAAAAAAACAGAACGTTCACTGCACCTACTCATGGTTCTACTTTGCTCTGTCCGTGCATCCACTCAGGAAGTCGCCATTTCGCTCTTATCACCTCATATGCTCGTTTGCCATCACTCCAAACATACACTTTGCATCACCAAGCATGAATTTGTTCCTCACTATGTATTTACACAGGGATAACATCAAAAACATCAAATCATTTGCACCATTCTCTGTGTTTGATGTGAATGCACCTTTAGTAAAACAACTCCAAACAACAGCTGCCTTTCAATAATCATAGTATACTCCGAAGTTAAATCCCAGCTCTAAATGCAAATTCTAAATTCAGACATAAGTTAAAAATGTTAAAATACACTGTCATCATTAATCTAATTAAACCCAAGCTATTTTGGAAACAAAAAATAAAAATGAAGACTATGGATGAGGGTTAGGCAGTTAATTACATTTGGAAAATAATTGCAATAAAAAAAAAATCCAGAGGAATTCTATTTTAAATGGCACAGGCCTCCGATTATGGTGACATTTAACAGAAGACACTAAATGTCTCACTCCAGCCCGTTAGGTGGCAGTAATGTGCCTAAAGTAGGTTTTTTACCACACAGAAAGGTAGAGGGAGTTACAGCTAGCGCATAGATACATGCAAAAGTAAGCATCTTCATCTCAACAGTAAAGTCCTATGACTTCTGGACTCTGGATGAGCAAACTCTTCAAGGTCATGAAGAAAATATAACCATGGCGTAAGAATATATTCCTGCTTGTGTTTAGTGCAAACTAAAATCAAGGTAAAATAACAATATTGTCTGAAAAGGAGCGCATATAAGATTTTTGGCAAAATCGTTCATCCCTACTATGGATCTGTAAAGCTAATAATCAAGATACCCGTAAAGACTTGTATGTTTTATTATCAGGAAAGTTTGGTTCTGCAGATTATCATTTAGTTTCAAGCTAGGTTTTTATTTCTATTTTCAAGGTTTAAAGTTTCACACTTTATAGAGTTTTGGCATTAGAAACCTTTGAAATCTATGGCAATAAACCAAGGTTGGGTAGCACAGTAAAAATATTTAAAATTGTCGTTAAATAGCTTTATTCGAAAGGTAGTGTCAGGTCTCATCAGTTATGAGCACAGGATTATCATTTGCCAAAATGTCTTTGAACTCCTCACCTCCCATGTAGGACAAACCCATCAGAACTCTGACACACACACGATGATTTAGATGGATGGATAGTGATAAATCACAGAATTGAAATGGGCTTTTTCTCTGGCTGCATTTAAATGCCAAGCTCGGTGTTGTTTTTATACAAAACGATGACATTTCAGCTAAAAAGCATAAAGTGCAAATTCATATTTAGGAAAGTTGTTGAAAAGCTCGTGTCAGAAAGATGAGTCAAAACAAAGAGCAGCCTAGGACCTCAAATCCACTCTTTGCTCTCGCTGCATAACAATTTATTCAAATTGATGTGAAATTTGCAATTATTATAATTCATCTCAACCCACAAAGGCAATGTTAAACACCTTTTGTGAAGTACACTGAAAGCTCCCCTGAAAGCAAAACTGGAACGAAACTACACAGCATGCAGGCCCATTTTATGCTGAAGGTGTCTGCATTATATAGCGTTTGAAGCTGAACAGGTATTTCTTAAGTATAAAAGCACCAAAAATGTAGTAAGGGTGGGGATGTACGGAAGAGGATTGGGGCCACTCGAAAAAAAAAAAAAAAGTTAACTGATTTTTAAATTCTATTTCAGTTTAACATGGGGAAAAAGTCCGAATTCTGACTTTTTTCGCAGGATTCTGACTTTAATTTCAGAATTCTGACTTTAATATCAGAATTTTTACTGACTTCTGGCGATAAAAAAAAAGTCAGAATTCTGAGATTAAAGCCAGAATTCTGAGAAAAAGGTCAGAATTATGACTTTTTCTCAGAATTCTGGCTTTAATCTCAGAATTCTGACTTTAATCTCAGAATTCTGACTTTTTTCTCAGAATTCTGACTTTATTCTTAGAATTCTGACTTTAATCTCAGAATTCTGACTTTTTTCTCCGAATTCTGACTTTTTTCTCAGAATTCTGACTTTATTCTTAGAATTCTGACTTTAATCTCAGAATTCTGACTTTTTTCTCCGAATTCTGACATTTTTCTCACAATTCTGACTTTAATCTCGAATCTTTACTGACTTCTGACGATAAAAAAAGTCAGAATTGTTACATTAAAGTCAGAATTCTGACTTTAATCTCAGAATTCTGACTTTTTTCCTCAGAATTCTGACTTTTTTCTCAGAATTCTGACTTTAATCTCGAATCTTTACTGACTTCTGACGATAAAAAAAGTCAGAATTCTTACATTCAAGTCAAAATTCTGAGATAAAAGCCAGGATTCTGAGAAAAAATTCAGAATTCTGACTTTTCTCAGAATTCTGACTTTTTTTCAGAATTCTGACTTTAATTTTAGAATTTTTACTGAATTCTGACGATAAAAAAAGTCAGAATTCGGACTTTTTTCCCATACTAATCTGAAATAAAATTTTAAAATCAGTAAACTTTTTTTTTCAGTGGCCCTAATCCTCTTCCGTAGGGATGAGTATGGTGTTCTTATAGGAAATTTAAGAAAGTAAAAGACACCTCCTAATACAGCTACAGTAGGACTATCTAAGAGGGAAAACCAAAGCCTTCAGGATTACTTGAAAATCAACTAAAATTGTGGCACTGTTTCTACTAATTTATAAAATAATGTTACATTTGAATGATTCGACAGAAATGTAGCATCAATCCTTTGGCACTGCTTCCTTCAAGTCCTTTCTGTGATGACTTTTAGATTAGTTAGACATTTAGAGCCTGAGAACCTCCTTCTGCTGGGATCAGAATAATTACACTCAGCAAAAATCAATCAGGAATGCTTTAAGAAGGTCAGTAACATATCAAAGATTCTCCAACCCTGGAGTAATTTCAAACAGCGGGACTTTTGTGAGTAGACACGGATACACAGATCATATGTTTCGCTGAAATCGGTGCAACACAGAGCGAGTCTGCTTTCCCTGTGGCGTGTGCTGTCTCTCGTGTGCTGTCCTTTTATCCAAGTCTGCCTCTGCGCAGAGCTCAACAGCCTACATTCAGTACAGCTGCTAATAATCTAACCTGTATTCTATGCTTCTTTTTCCCCCCATTTTATATATTTTGTCATAGCGCACTGCTCTGGGAATCATGCGTGGAGAAGACACCATTACGCATCACAGTGGGCGTTTTGGCGACGCGGTGGCGCAGCCGTCGCTTGTCTCGGCACAGCAAAGTCCTACATACTGAGTCTTTCAAACTCATCGAGCTGATTCAGTTTGAAAGACTCTTAAAAGATGAACTTGAAGGATGCATTGCATTAACAACTGGGTCACTGGCATTATTTTTTTTTCTCTTAAGGAAGAAAATGCAGCTGTTTAAGAGACTCTACCCTCCGGTGGCCTAATTTGGCATACCTAACAATTCTCTACTGTATGTTAAGCCTTTCTTCACCATGAACGATAAGGAGAAACAAATAATTCATCCATTATAAGAGGAAAATGTTAGTCATTTACGCGCAAAGATTCATTTAAAAAGCTCTATTGTTCCAGATGAAAGTAGTACATTATACGTGATTAAAAAGAAAGCTAAATGATTCACCACAAACATCGCAATTCATCACTGCAGTGGTTAAACCCACACAGCTCTGAATAATCCAACCATTCCTCGGACTGTGTCGGGACCTGGGGAAGAAATCCCGCACAAGTCGTCTGGACATTGCGTAAACACATCCACAGCTCGTTTCTGTCACCGGTCGCAGTGGGTTTCCACACTCTACCACGCGTGATGTCCACTCATTTCCACCAGTTTCCTCCAAACACAAAACTCAGCGCCTCTACTTAGAAGCAACCGAAAACAAACAGCACAGCTCAGACCTCCTGTCAAATATTCACTCATTGCGCGTCATCTGGCTTCATCTTCTTCACACTAGAATAAAGAGCGCATTAATAAAAGAACAAATTAAGCATCAGCAACTGTCATCATATGTTAAGATTTCCTCTGAACGCAGACAAAGAGCCAGAGAAAATAAAACACAGTATAGTAACAAGAAAAAAGTCCTTACTTGTATTTTAGAATAATCCCGTTATTCTCCAAAGACAAACGGAGATGATTTAATATCCTTGGGAAAAGCCTGGAAGTAGTTTATACGTTTTTTTTTTTTATCCACAGCGTAGAGAGGAGCAGAATTTCTTCCCCCGTTTCTCCTTCAAAACAGATGTGAGCGGTCCTGCCCGAGTCGCTCCACCTGCATCCCTGCTGTCAAGGCGAGCCACTAGACAGGAAGTGTGGCTTCGGAGTCGTTTTTCAAAGTAAAACTCCAATATTTGAAACTCCAGGCTAGGCTTTTATTGTGTAAGGCTGCTCACCCTTCAATTTGTGTTATAGTTATCTTGACTGCCTCCACCTGATTGTGCTGGAGATGGAGGCACAGCGGCATCAGCAGCAGAGAGGAGCGCACCGAGGAGGCCGCCCACTAAGGTGCGCCCCGTTCTGGCTGCAGAGGGTGGCATCACCCGAGCCAGGGAGGGAGATGGGAGGGATGTTTTTAACCCTAGAATTAAAAATTGATAATTTGCCAATTGGAGATAAAAAATGTTACAACCACTTTATCGGTACAGTCTTTAAAATGCAAAGCCTTTCATCAGTTTAATACAATGAAAAAAATTCGAATATTTAATGAATCAGGCAACTTAGGAAAATATTTCAAATATTTAAAATGGCCCATTCCACCAAAAGTAAAAGAAGTACAATATAAAATTCTGAATAGATAGTACCCAACAGGAGAAAATCTTAAAAAAAAGATTTGGATTTGAAGTTGATAACTGTGTTTTTTGCCATGAAGAACTTGAAACTATGGAGCAGGGGTCTGCAACCTTTCATATCCAAAGAACCGTTTTGCCCAGAGTTCGACCAAGTAAAAGTTGTTTAGAGCCGCAAAATATAACATGACTTTTTCTAGAAAACCTTTTTTTTTTTATCTTGTATAGGAAATTAGTTGCTGCCATCTCAAACAATCAACAAAGCATGTATTTTTAATGTTAAAACATATAATTTTCAAGCTAATTCATAAAAAAATGTCTCTTAAAACATATTTCTGGTTCTTTTAATCTCATTCTTTTCCATCTAATAAAAAACGCTAAAGCTGTTGATACCGGTATATATTATAGTAAATTATTTAGCTCTTTATATACATTTTAGCTACTATTAAGAGCCACTGGAGAGCCTCCAAAGAGCCATATGTGGCTCTGGAGCCGCAGGTTGCAGACCCCTGCTATGGAGCGTCTCTTCTATTCGTGTAGAGTCACATGTAATTTTTGGCAGAACGTGCATATTTGGTTGAGTACCAAAATAGAAAATATAACACCATTTAATATAAATCACATACTATCATACAAAAATGATATTGCGAAAGATTTATCGGACATAATCAATATTGTCATGAGTATGGGAAAATATCATATACATGTATGTAAATGGAAAAATCAAGAACCTTCAGTTATATGTTTTAAAAATGAACTCAAATTCTTCTATTCATCTTTATCCTTGTTAGCTGACAAATATGGACATATACAAAAGCTATGTAACGACATGTCACGATTTCTTGTGTTTTAACTCAAGTTAACATGATTTGTCGCACTGCCTAAATAAGTATGTCTCTGTTAATTGTTGATTTTGAATTCTACATATGTCATGTATATATCCTTTTGGAGATTGGTTTACTATGATTTATTATAAATGCCTGTTATTTTATTTTATTTTTTTTTTTGTTAATTTAATTGTACCTTCTTCCTTTGCCTTGCAAAAGTTAAGTTGAATTTCTCGTCGTTTTTTTTTTTCTGTAAAAACGCTAAATGGAGATTCCTACTGAAACATGTAATTAATGTTATAAACAATAAAGTTGGGGGGGAAAAAAATGTTTTTAACCCTGCTCCCAAAGGCATGTTGCCCTGAATGTTTCTTTTTTTTCTGTTTTAAAAAACCTGATTCAGATATTTGCTAATTTTTTCATTTAATAAAATCAGGCGTGTTAAAGCCGGGTTCTAGATCACTAGTTGATTTATTTTATTTTATTTATTTAGTGATTTTTCAATCTTAAGAAAATACAAACAAAAAAATAAAAGTAGTTGAGTAGTTGAGCCCTTAAAATCAGAAAATGAGATGTGATGCACCTGAAATAAGATAATTGTGATTTTCTCTTATTTTACATGTAAAAAATTGTATTTCATCTGCAATATCTCTCATCCACCTACTCACATCAAGGGATAATTTATGTATTCTAAGAAAAAAAAAACAGACTTACTTATATTTTAATTTTTGTAGTGTGCACCAAAGAAATAACGCAACTATTTTTGCCTTTTACTTAATCATATTTAGTTACTTTAACATAATTGTTTCATGTTAGCAGGGTAGGAAATAAAACAATTGTGTTAAAGAAACTAATTATGACTGATTAAATGCCAAAATCAGTTGAAATTTCTTTTCAGTGTATGTTTTCAGGAAAGGGACCTTAACAGGGGCCAGGACCTGTTCTACAGTGGCACTGGCCCTTGTTGGCCTCTGTCTAGAGCCACCATTGTATATAAAGTAGTTTGCCTTGAGGACCAGGGTTAAAAACACGGGGTTAACTCAGCACACATTTAGGTCAAGATCAAAGAAGATGTAAGTTTGCCAATTTTAGGGAAAAAGTAAGTGATATAAAAAGGAAACTGGGGCGTTGGCAGATGTGGGTAGCACCAGGAAAAAAGAAAAAAAAAAGACACTTCATAATATTTCTACTAAAGTAAGATTAAAAAATAATTATCCACACATTTACTCAAGTAAGAGTAAAAAAAAATGGTTTACTCTTATATTATGTTTACGGTCAATTTGACCCATTTCAGTTTTTGTGTTGATCAAAGTACTGGTTATCTTCTTTTTCTTCTTCATGAAATTTAGTGACTTTTCTTTATCTGGGGTCATGAACATGTATGTAAAATCTAGTCACTCTGATGTGTAGTGGAGTGTCTGTGCAGAGTATGTGTACAAATATGATGCTGTGGGTCATTTTGACCCGGACTCTTAGGTAGGTAGTCATTCCGGTAAATAAAAAGGCTTTTTTGATGTACTTTTCTCTTTGTTCTTTGCCTCTGAGACCCAGACCCAGGTGTGGTAAGGGAGGGAACTTTCTTACACTAGTTCTTGGTCAAAATTGTAGAAAAGATTAATGTAGCACTTTATCAGCAAATATTACTGGTAAAAATGTCAATAATCAGCCCGGAAGCTGTGAATGGGACGTAATTTAATGTGACAGCGATCCAAAACACAAGTCACTACACGAGTAATGAGTAACTGAACATGATTTGATATTATGTAATAAGAACATGAACTTTTGATATTTTAGAGGCTACAATAAAATAATAAAAACTAATGAATAATGTAATTGAAAAATATCAAATCTATGCAGAAGATATTTTTATCAATATACAACTTAGAACGATATAAAGTACCTCCAGTGACAATATTTAGGCTACTCCGTTTATATTGGCTTGGTCTCCAAAATTTCACGTCAAATTCATCACATATATACTGCAATAAGCTTTTGTAAAAAAAAAAACAACACTCATTTTAAAATAAACATTTACTTTTTTGCTTTGAGCACTTTTTTTTTTTTCAAAACAAAGCCAGCTCATTTTTCAGTGAAGCTATTCACAGTGGAGAGTAACCAAACATTTTACTCGAGTACAAGTAATTACATCTTCTGAATCAAGTGTAAAACTACTTCTTAAAGTACATTTTTGGGAAAAAAAGTTACTCTGCTGGGTAACCAATACTGTAGCCAAAAGGAGACAAACTTGTTAGCCTTATGCATTTTACCTTTCTGTGAACAGCCGTTGTTGATGGAGGAGAGTAAACCATGCAAAGGCGATCTAAGATGATTCTACTTGCCTCTTTTCCTTTAAAATGGAGGACCACCTATACTCTTTCACAGGGAGGAGAAAGAGAAAATAACCAAGAAAAGAAAAAGAGGTAATAAACAGGAGCAAGCAAGGGTCAACATTGGGGTAGCTTTTAGCAGGTGGAGACAATTTATGAAGTAGCTGCACTTAAAAAATGAATGCATGGGGTAAATTGAACACGCTGTAACTTTAAGATAGTGGAGGAAGGAAACTTGTTTAGATTCTCAGTCAAATTACCCTGCAAAAGGTTCCTACCTTTCTTGATCTATGTGAGAAAGGATGGTCTAAGAGGGCAAATCAAAGATTACAGGATTATATGTGGGAAAGCTGTAAAAGATGTAGGCAATAATTTAACCATAAACCCTGACTCAGTTACACCAGTAGGCCTACAATGGAATAGATGGACTATATTTTAGCAAACTACTGTATTATTGAAACCTTGTGGAAAGATACTAAAAGCATCTGACCTACAGTTAGTAACACAATTTAGAGGTCATTTTACAACTTATAGTTAGACCTCTGAATTTAAAAAAGGTCACACAAAAACTATATTCTCTATATACTCTAATTATGGTATGTAGAAAATATAATTAAGTGCAAGGCAATAAAAAAATTAAGAAAAACATAACAGTAAACAAAACAAAAGGGTCTGTCTTTTTAGACATTGAATGTAAACAATGTATAATGTTTAATCTATAGTTACTTTCTTCAACATGAATCACATCTGCATCTGTTAAGTGCCCTGAAATAGAGTCCTGCAACTGGTCGGGTACCCGCGGGTCCCTGACGGGTCACCCGCTAAAATGCTCTTCTGCGGGTGAAAAATACATAAATAAAAATAAACGGGTCGGGGGTCGGGCGGATATTTTTTTAGTGCGGGCGGGTAGTTGGTGATTTTTTTTTTTTATGCATGTGTGTTGTTATGGACATCAGAAATGTTATATTAATCAGGCACTGGGGTCAACCTTGTAGCTTAAAGCCCTGCCGGCAGTGTGGGCTTCCCTCCAAAAAGGCCACAGTCAGTGCATACACGTCTGCTGCAGTGTTAATGGTGCTGTTCTGCAGCGCAGCGTACTATAGCTTATTACTTGATGTGTTAACGGGTCGGGTTGCGGGTTAAATATCAACGGGTCGGGTCGGGTTCGGATTTGAATTGAAGATATCCGCGGCTGACGGGTCGGGTTTGGTAGTCATTCTAACGGGTTCGGGCGGGTGCGGGTTGGTAAAACTCGACCCGTGCAGGACTCTACCCTGAAATCACATGTATTGTGACTTGGTGGTGTATAAATTCAAAACTGAATTGAATATATATGTCATCTTTACTTTACTTTACTT